AAGGCAGGCCACAGCACATAAACAGAGAGCAAACCCCATCCCATTCTAGCACTGAAGATGTCATGTAGCCAGGTAACGTTTGCAAGAAAAGAACCAAGCTCAGAGAACCCCAAGGACTCCACAGTAACACACAAAGCCAAAACCAAACAAGCCATATTATAGTTTAATACAGTGGGTGAACACTGTCTCTGTTTTGATTTCATAGAGAATCCAATGCTATCTATGTTGAAATGAAAGTAATTACAGTACTGTACTGTAGTATACTTTCTGTCTCTATCATTGGCAACCATTTTAACAAACAGAGTTTGCTGGAAAGCATCACACGCCTTGTAAACTGATTACAGTAGATCACTAGCTCATTTTTCTTGTTAAGGAACCCTGCTGTACAGAATTACCTTGACCCCCATCTGTTTTTTTCTGTCCATCAGAATCTGGCACATAAGGGTTTTTCCATTAAAAGCTTGTGGGTGTTTTTGCATTTGAGAGAGCTTTTTTTTTTTTTTATCATGTCCTTCACCTCTGCTTCTGTTCAATACCAAAGCATTAATACAGCTTTTTTATGAAGCTGATTATTATTATTTTTGTTTGTGTCAGACTGAGAATGAAAGTTGAGATTCATTTGGAAGGAACTGATAATTTGTCTCGTGATGTTGGGAAATATGATAAGTGGAAAAATTCATATTTACCAAAACATGCCTGAATATTTGACCTCTGGGTGCTCTGATATGACTTCCTAGACTCACATGTCTATCAGAATTTAATTAACCATCAATTTGTGTACTTTTTGAATATTCCAGAACCGTCCTTGGCTCAAAGCATCAGAATAAGTTTTAGAAGTTGTATTTCAATACATACTTCAATGCAAATGAAAAACATTTTGGAAAAATAAGGAAGTGGGATGGAATGGGCTAATGGAGAATATACAGTATATGGAAGTGATAGAGAACAAATACATTGGTATATCCATACCTAGTTTGTCAACTGATCTTGACGGAGTTGTCTGTGTTTGGTATTTAGATGGGATCCACCTGGGAGTTCCTGGGCTGTAAACTAGGATAGGAAGTAAAACAAAAAAAATCCCCCCAGACAACTTCCTGATTGTTTCTAAGAAAACTGCATGGATACCAGAAGACCACTTGCCTGTTTAACTTGGATTGACTTGGGTGGCTATAGAAATTGCATGCATACATGCATAAAAAAACAGACAAACTTAGGGAACTAGAACTGAACAAGAGCTGAAGATTTATAGCAAGGAAGAGTCTACAACACATACCTTATAGTCTCTGGTTTATTATCTAGCTTCCTTTACTCTTAAGAAGTTCTTCCTGTTCAACTCAAAACTGATGTTTTTCTGTATTTTTACTAAATCTAATTGTGCCCTCTGAGGCAGCTGAGAACAGTTTTTCATCTTCTGCATGTGACAATTGTAGTATCTGAAGAGTTATGTCACCCATACAAGTTACCTTTTCTAGGTGAACTCAGTGCATATCTACATGGTCAGGCTGCCCTGTTATGAGTGTGGGCCACCAGCTGTTTCTCAAGGAGAAGAATGGATGATATTGTCCTTTACCTGCCCTGTCCGCATCTGAACGTGTCCTCTACATGTATTTTCTTGCTCCAGTTTCAAGTGGTATTTTCCAGCTTCCAGTGGTTCAGGCCTTGCTCCCCAGTTTGCCTGCTGTGTTTTAATTTCTTCTAGGGAAACTCTGCACTGTGCACAGTGGCAGGAATTTCCCCTCACCCAAGTCAATGGTTGTCATCCTGCAGCACCATTAAAAAAATGCTTAAACTTTGTAAATAGCAAACTGTTTTTCAAAAGCATATATGTCCAGAATGACCCTTCCACACAATGGATTAGAATTGCTTTCTTGTCACAAAAAGTTGGGAGGGCAGAGCAGCAGGGAAATTTTTAGTTGAGGGCTGTGGAAGACTGTGGATGAAGCAGCCCAATCTGAAAGAATTTTCTAAGCTGGTTTAGAGTCTTAGGGATCCAGTGCAGAAGTGTCCAGTAGTTGGCACCGTCAACCTTTTCCCATAAGACCTGGGAATGGAACTTTTAGTGTTTCAGTGGCTGCAGAATGTCAACTGCCAGCAATCCCATCTAATGTAGCTAGTGGTGAGAAATGCTGGGAAATGATGTTCAGCAAGTAAAGGCCATAAATTCTCATCTCTGAGATTTATCACTCATTTTCCATAAAACATCCTCCCCCAGGATTCCAGAACCAAATATTCTGACTTTTTCTCTCCCCAGCCCTTTGCTGGTTTGGGGGCCTTGTGCTTTAAAACTCCAACAATACGTAGTCACCTGTATCTGATCATGAAGAAAACCACTCAGATTTAGCACACATTTGATTTCTCAGCAAAAGTTACTGCAGATCATATTTTAAAGATGTATTTTGTTCCTACCAGTCTGCTTTAGGAGCAGCTGTTATTAATTAATTGTGGTTTTCTACATGAGCATAAGTTTCTAGAGATTTTTTCCCCCTGTGGATCTGTTCAAGATTTGCATTCACTGATATGTTCTACCCATTTACAGTTGTGTGTTCTTCAGAAGAAGATTCTGCATAGACAGCGAAAGATATATCTTTGGCTCAGTTCTTGAATGTTTTCATGCCTGTATACTATGTTGTTTTGCTTTTTCTCTTGACTGCTAGGCTGTCTAAAAGCTTTCTCAAGTGGAGCTTAACTCTTGATGACTACATGGACCTGTCTGTGTAGTTTTCTTGGCAACAATTCAGACATGGCTTATTGTTCCCTTCATCCAGACTAGGGTAATTAGGGGACTTGAAGTTCTTTTGGCTTGTTCTCCAGTTAAAAGTTGTGTGAGGTTCTCCCATCAGGCTTACACAGTGGTTCAGAAATGACAAGCAATCCTT